GATAATTTAGATGTTTTCGTTTATAAAGAGCATCAACCGGAGGACAATGTAGAAGAAGATGAAGCTTCACTATCACAAGAAATGGATAAAGTACGAGATTAAATTGTGACAAGTTTAATGAACACGACTTAATTCTTTTAATGACTCTGTCAGTTTTTGAACATGGAATGTACACTTTTGTTCAACAAATTGATTACTCACTAATGCTCCTTTTAGTTGTAACTATATTGTGAATGAAGAAATGAAAAAAAAGAATTAATTATCATAAAGTTATCGTTAAAAAACTCAAAATCATAGCATTATGTTTTTTTTTAAGTTAAACAAGTATTTCTAAATACCAAAAATAATTATATATATTTAAATTTCATACCATGTCTATTTTGGTCATTTTACATACCCACGGTAATTCAACCTCATAATTTATCAAACGCTATTACATTGATTTTGGAACAGCACAGCTACTATAATTACAGTTTGCCAAACACTCAGCTGCTTATTGTAACAGCTGCTTCTTCCTTCAGCACAATTAAAAGTAATTTTTCTAAAATCCACAGCACTACCAAACTAAGCCAGTGCCTAATGGGGGCTACTGTCCCCACTCTCTTTTTAAAAGTTAAAAGTTGAACCTTTAAAAATTTTAATCTTTTTATTTAGCCCTTATTAAAATTTAATATTTTCATATATGTCCCTACTAATTTTTACTGTTTTTTATTTTATTGCTAAATTTCTTTTATAAACAATTTTACTCGTTTTACTCCTGAATTATTGTAATGTCTTTTATGATAACTTTTATGTTGGACTACATCACATTTATATTATTACAATTTAAATTTATGTTAAATCATGAGCTTTATTTTGATTATTAAAAATAATTTAATATTTTAAACATTTGCAATTTTTTTCCTGATTCTTTTAGTTTATTAAAGAGCATTTGAATTTGTTTTATGGCTAAATTGATCGTTGAAAAAAATAAAGATCAAATGAAAATTTTAGGGTAAACTATCTTTATCGGTAGTGCACAATTCTGAACATTAGATCTTACTAAAATCACATCAAAATAAAAAATATATATGCAAAATAAACAAATTGTTTTACAAAGAAATCTAACGACAAAGGCCAGCACTAGAATAGTTTTTTCAAATGTAAATTTCTCCATATGTATATCTAATAATTCTTGAAAAATATTATAATACATTTTTTCATACATTTTTTATGCTATTTATTTTTCATAAAAAAATATGTACTCTCACCCGTGCTGAGGTGAAAAAGCTAGCTCTGTCACTGAACATATAGGGCACATTCTATACACACGCAAAAGAGGAAATTAAATTCCTAAATTAGTTTTGGAGGTTAACTTCAATAGTATTATCCATCTATTTATAATGCTTATAAATTACGACTCTTTTGAGAGTATATTTGTTTAACTGTATTATATAATAATACACTAGTATAATATTTGGTGTAACCATTGTATTGTATGAACTGATACAGATGGTAAATTAATACGATTTGTGTCGTATTATAGAATACACCTTATTTTTTGACATATTGTATTGTATTATTTTGTATCGAATCCCTGATCCATGTCAGGGACTTAGAGTTGGGCACGACTGGGGTCGGGGTATGGCTGACTTAGGTTGATGTTAGAACCTATAATTGTTTAAAAATTAAGAGGCACAATGCAAATTTATATTTTTGGTCCTTTAATTTTTGCAAAATTACATTTGACCACAAAATTTTTCAAAAATTTCATTTCAACCTCAAAATTTTTAAAATTTTATATTTTAACCCCTGATACAATACGTCATGACACTAAAACCGTATTGTATTATAACAATACAATACATCTTATACAATATAATATAGTACAAACTATCAAACATAGCATGAGGGTCTGTGTACATACTTCTTTATAAGACTCTAACTATATCGAATATTTTCCGCTTGTTTTCTAACTTTAGCATCAAAATGCAATTGGTCGCTACTCACTATTGCCTAGCTTCAATTTCTATTTTTGTTATATTTTTTCGAGGTGTTCACATATATTCTTGATCAAAAGTTCCTTCAATCGGAAATTTAAGTTTTTACATCAACAACGTTCACTGTAATTTTTACTTTATGTTTTACAACTGCATTTTAACGAATCAATGAGTTGTGGCATCTATGAGAGAAACTATTACGGTGAAACCCTATTAAATCACTTGTATGTTATGTTTTTACTTTATGTTTTACAACTGCATTTTAACGAATCAATGAGTTGTGGCATCTAGACAGTTATGAGAGAAACTATTACGGTGAAACCCTATTAAATCACTTGTATGTTATACAGAGTATTTAAGTTTGTTAATTTAAATATAACAAGTGTAATAATAGTTTGTTAATCTTGCTGAGCTGTCATGTAGTTAGTTACACTTAACAGAATTTGTTTTCTTGGTTTACGAGCTTCTCTGATGCATACAAGCTATATATATAGCTCTTCTGTAATTAGTTAGAGTATGAATGAGAATTATTATTTTCTCGCAGTTTTCTTCACTTCGTCTTAATACAGAGTTTGCTTTCAGATTAGGAAAATCTCACTCAAACATCACATCCAAGGATTAAAATCAGAGTACTAGAATTGGTAAGTGGGACTTAGAGAACATGTCTCGCACGGTGTAGCTCACCTCTCTAAGGCTTTATTCTGTTCCATAGATTGTGCATTTCTCACACATCACATTTGACACGCTAGTATAAGACTGACTACCAAATCCAAGTCTCCAAATAAAATCAGTTGCGAAAATGACCATAAATATAAATATATTTAGTTTCCACTAAAAAATTTCCAGGGACGGAACATATAATATGGAGATTGGTTCATTTGATAGTGAGAACCTTTGAAAAAACAGAAAACAGAAACACGGTTACAGTTGGAGAGCATGAAATAATAGATGGTTGGTGAAACAAATGATGAGATTTGTTTTTATTTTACCCCCCAAAACAAGCAAAGACCAAACAAAGTCTTAAAGCTTAAAAGCTCCTTCCTAAGGTGAAAGAAAAATATGAAACCCAAAAAAAAAAAAAAAAAAAAAAAAAAAAAAGGAAAAGGGGGGAAAAAAAAAGTAGAAGGACAATGGGTGATAGAATAGTGACAGCTTGATTAATAGGACATCCTACCCTAAAAGTCATTATAATACCCTTAAACCACCACTATTCTTTTAAAGTCTCTCCAGACATTCTTGCTAGGTAGGGCCTCTATTTCTACTCATCTTGGATGGCTAAATGAAAAAAAAAAAAAAAAAAAAAAGAAATTAAGAAAGAATGAAAACCAACACACACAAAATGAATGACAATCCAAAATTAAAAGGAGAATCGAATTTCTTTTTTTTTTTTTCCCTTCGTTAAGAACATAGATTTCAGGGTATGATTTGACAATTGACCCACATTATTCTCTTCCACGGATATTTACTTAACGGAATAACATCATTTCACATAGGTCGACACAAAAGATTTATAGCTCTAGGAAATAAATGATGTACATTTTCACTTGTTCTAGGTTTGGAAATGAAATAGTGAGGAATTTTCACTCAGGATTTATTTATTAGCTGTAGAATATAATGATGGTTTATGAGGCAAACGTGTAGTGAGAAAAAGGCAATTGAAGAATAGAAACTCTAGAAAAAGTGTGTTTAGACTTACTATTAAACCTACTACACAACACACATTCACATAATGAAATATTCTCAGTTGATTGAAGGGTTAACGTAGAAAAATGGCAGGGTATAATTGTCAAAATCTTCACTCTTTATTTGTCAATATAGGAATGGGGAAAAAGAACAATTTTATTGTGTACACCAGCGAAGCATAGGCAGTCTTTTGTCAAGGTTTTGTGTCTTTGTAACAATTTCTATATTTTTTGTTTTTGGAAACATTTTTAAGTGTAGTAATCAAATCATGAGACGGAACAAACAGCCAAAAGATTGAAAAGAGGAGGGAAGGGAAAAAAAAAAAGCCAATACTAGACACGTCGCAGTATTATTGGACCTTTTTATTAAACTTCCTGGAGACAAATACTGTCACAATAAAGTTTTTCTATTAATATTTTTTTTTCTCTCATTTTCCTATCATTATTACTGTTATAATAAATTATATGTTTTGTAAGTATTCTGCAAACAGCACCACATTCAGAGCATCTTTCTGGTAATTAAATTGCATTAATCTGCAGACCAATAATAGACCCCTCAATATAAAATTCATTAAGGCTGCAATGCAGAAGTCTTTTGTTGAACCCCAAAAAATGGATTTTTACTAACCGCCTCTCAGAGAAGTATAATTATTTGTCTATTTAAAAAGGGTATCTTTCCAAACCTGAATTCCACTACATTACCCTTTTTTTTTTTTTCTCTTTATATTCACAAAATAATTAAATAGTAGGTAAGATTAATAGATTATAAAGCTCTTTGATTCATTGGGCCTAGTCAGAATCTCACCACTGCCAACCTGGGATTCTCTCTATGTTATCGAGTGTTATTAAACAAAAGAAAGTTAGTATTATTATTATTATTATTATTATTTATATATATATTTTTTGGTAAGGAGTGGTTCTAACTTCTAACTTCTAACTTCTAACTTCTGCCAAATTTATTTTTTTCTATTCTGAACAGTAAAAAAGGGGAACAGAAGCTTCTGTTTTGGGGTAATCTCTGAAAATAACAGGGCCAGAAATATGGCAGAAATCATGGTTGACCCCAGCTGAAGAAAACCTAAATATGTCCTAATCATTCAAATTAGACTTTGTTTTAGAGAGAAGAGACCCCACTAATACAGCTGGTTACAACACAAGTAGGAATCAAATCCAGAAGATTACGCCATTTAGCAATGCCTAATTGACATGACTCCAATAGAGATTATAAAAAGATAATCCGGCACAATTCTCACTGAAGTGACAAAAGATTTCCCAATTACGTAGAGACAAACAAATTCAACAAATATCGATGACGAAATATGGTAGAAAAAAAATGTTTAAAAAAAAGCTCTTCCTCTTAATTAGCAATTTAGTGGTCTATTTTACAACTGGTGCTTTAAGGTCATGCACCAAAAATACATAATTGATTCTGGGATTTTACATCTTGTAATAAAACTCTCTTAAAAAATAGTAATAAAAATCAGAAACAACAAATTACATTAAGGAAAAAAAAAAGATAAAATGAGGATACAGCCAAAAAGAAAAATGGTGCTCTCCACTAGAGCTAAGGATGAATGTTGCTTAGTGACGATAAAATTATGATGTAAAAATGCTTAGTTGTTGATCGGACGGTCCAAATTAACTCTTCTATTTACAGCAGCAACTATATATGTATTAGGGACGGCGGAAGGATAATAATCATTAATCAGAGCTCGACTTTCATGTGGGACACTTGATTAGGACCTGCGTAAAAACAAAATACAATTATGATTAACAACTTTAAAGGTCGAGATATTATTTAATTAATATACTTTGATTTGTTAATGATTTTTTCCCCCTTCTTTTTTACCATGGAGGCTCTGAGGCTGGAATGATGTATCTCGGTTTGGATTTTGTCCAAAGCCCATCTGGACAATGGCTTGCAGGTCATCCTCACCAAATGCTGGATACTGAAAATAATTAAGCCGACAAATGATTAGTTGAGTGAAAAAAAAAAAGCTTAGCTTTTGATTAAAAAATTTGTTTTTAAAGGAAATTAAAGGATTAAAGAATAATCACCTGAGAAACAATGTCACTAAATCCATTGAGATGGGGTAATTGCATGCCAAGGTTTTGGCATAATGCAGAATCTAACGGGTCCATTGAGCAATGTGTCATGGGCCCACTGGAAATGTTGTTGTTGCTGTTGTTGTTATTGTTGTTATGGATTGTTTGGTTTTGTTGGGGCTGGTGACCATAAACGGTTTGCGCCGAGGAATCTAGTGGGAATATTGGGTGTGGCATGGAACTATTTGGTTGAAATATCTGAAAGGGAAAAATGAAAAAAAAAAAAAAAAAAAAATTTAGAAAAGGGGAAAGTGGTTTGCAAAATGCAAACGAAAGCGATTTTCTTTGTTTTTTTTAAGAAATAAAAAAGGGGCAAAAAAATAAAAAAAAACTTACATCTTTTGACATTAGAGTATCAATGTTGGCATCCAGCCTGGTATTAACGGAAGCCAACTTCATGGAGAGAAACTGCAAATATAAACAAACAAGCAGAGCCAATCAGCTAAATTATTATTTTAAAAAAAAATTGGAACAATTGGAATCTCAAACACATGATTACTATTCACTCCGTTTTAACTTTTAAATTACCTCGACTTGACGTTGTAACGACTGAACATAATTTATAATCTCGTCGAGCATGAGTGCTTTTCCGGTGACCTGAAATATAAATACCCACGCAAAGTCAAAACCCATATTAGAGAAGGGAAAAAAAAAAGACACATTCACATAAACTTTATTTAAAAAAAAAGAAGACTTTTTTTTTAGAATTGGAATTTCTGTTGCACACCTTGTTGCAACCCGGAACAAGATCTTGAAGAAGCTTCATTCTTTCACTGATCTTCTCCCTTCGGACCTATTCATAACATTTTTAGTAGAAAGCAATGTCAATAATAAAATTAAGCCTACTTTTGTGGAATGTAATAATAATGGCTTAATTAAACAGAGTTTAAACCCAAAAAAAAATGGAAAAAAATAAAAATTTTAAAAATAAAAGTTTCTTACCCTTTCGGCGAGACTGTGACTATCAGTAGCTTGACCCCGTCTGGCTCTAACGTGAATGTAGTCCTTTGGAGGTTCTGGAGGCTTTGGACTAGTTTTGGTTTGCTTTTCATCACCTCCTGAAGTTCCCTTTGCAATTTCCTCCTCTGTTTTCGCTTGACCACTCTTTTCGTTTCCTTCACCAAATTCTGTTGTTTTGTTCCGCTTTGCATTTGAATTGTCGTTTGCTTCAATAATCTGTAGGACCCCACAAAACAAAATTTCATATTTTTGTAACAAATGTTGTAAGGAAACAAAAACCAAAAATTGCGAACAATGTTATTACCTTGGTGGTAGGAGGGGACGACGAAGGTAATATTTTTCCCTTGGAAGCCGCTTTTCTTTTCCTTGAATTCATCTCAGGCTTCAACGCCTTTTCGCCATTCGGGTTTTGCTCCGATTCGGTCGATTCCTCTTGAGAATTGTTAGAATTCAACTGCGATCCGAGCGCCTTAAGCGCAGGACTACTTGAAACTCTAGACATTTTGTTACCATTTCCAGTCAATGGACTAGAATTGGATCCACCGGGGATGTTATTATTGTTAGTGTTATTATTAAACTCATTACTGTTGTTAAACCCAAATTGGGTGGTTCGGCCATTGAAGCTCCTGCTGCCGAAGCAGGAGAACCTCGCCGCTCTCTCCGCGAAACCGGGATCGGCGGCGAATTCCGCCACGCTGGAGTTGAGGGACGATGGCTTCCTCCCCAAATTACAGTTCATCATCTTGGGAGGAGAGTTCAGGGGAGTGCTGTAACAGGACGTGTTCGCAAGCGAGATCTCGCCGGAGCTGCTGTTTTTAACGTTGTTGTTGTTGCCGATGTTTCCGAGCTTTCCGATGAGCTCACGGATGACGAAGCTGTCGTTGGAAATGTTTGAATTGGAAGCGACGGGAGAGGAGACCATTGAGCTCAAGGCGGAGTCAAACTGCATGCTCTGCTGATCCGTTGACTTTTCCCTGCTGGGGTTATTGTAGAAGCATTGATCTGGAGATCCGTCGGACGAGGAATTCAATTTCAGCTCCATTTGTGATTGTTGTTGTTGTTGCCAGTTGGGAATTGGGTTTGAAGACTCCAAGTGAAGAAGCGGAGCAATTCCCGCGTTGAGGAAGAAGTACTCATTCTCCATTCAGAATGTGAGATTCTATGTATAATTATATAATAGCGTTTTTTTGTTTTAGCTAAGAAAGGCTAAGCAAGAACTGGGAAATGGAAATGGGGAATGAGAGAGAGAGGGAGGGAGAGAAGAAGAGGAAGGGGAATTGGTTTTGGAGAGGGAGGAGGTTAAATAGGCAAAAGGAGAGAGATTGTTTGACTTTTTTCTTTTTTTTGGTTGAGGGGCTAAATACTAAATAATTTTGGTTCTGGGGAGTTCCGTAAAAAGCGGAAGAAGTTCTTTGCCGGGTCTTGGACATTAAAGCGCACGCCTTGTATTATTTCCAAATTCGTCTTTGACCCCGTTCTTTCTCTCTCGATTATATAACGACCCCTCCATAGTCTACACTTAGGCTACTATATTTTCTTTCCTTTCCTTTTCTTTCATTTCTTTTTGTTTGTTAAATTCTTCAGTTTAATTTGTCTTTTCTTTCTTCTTCTTCTTTTGTATTTGCCAAAAGTTCAACAGTATGTAAAGTGATAAAGCGACCCATAAGGATTTGACGTAATTAAACTTTTTTTTTTTTTTCAATTAAGATAGAAAGAAAGAGTGCTTAATAAAACATGAATTTTTCCGGAAAGATACATGTTTTTTTAATTACTAATAGCTACTGCTTATTTAGCTGTAGATTATGTTCTTAACAGTCTGATATGTAATTGTAACAATATTATGTCGTGCCTTGTAAATTTTTAATGTGAACGCTTACAATTCATACCGTTAAAATCTTAATCTAATGATTAAAATAACAATTAAAAAAATAAAAAGAGAGTGTCCTACTGCGGAGTTTCCTAATAAAATTTTCTTAAATGTAACTTCTTACTTATAGCTAAGCTAGATTGCTTAAGGATGGTTCATAACAAATGAAATAATAAACATTTTTCTTTTCAGAAATGTGATTAAACACAGTGTAATGCTTTTATCACACATCTTTATGAAAATCTATTATTTTGATATTGTAATAGAACGATGAGATACAAATACTTGGGTTACAAGATCAAGGTAGATATTTTGTTTTATCCTTCAAACGTATTCATCTTGATTGAGTAATATTTAAGCGAACCGACTTTTATATTCAGTAATCATTGGAGTCAAACACTCAACACACAAGCTTGTGTGGTTAAAAAGTCAAAGTAAGTAAGTTTAATTGGATCATTTGATTGGGCGGTTCAGTTTCATCAAATTCATGTTTTAAAAAATAGGGGTATTTGTATTTTATTTACACCCAAAAAAAAAAAATTGAGGAAGAAGATAATAAATATTTTTTTTTTTCTTTTCTCCAAAGAAGAAAACAAATATTGTTGAACGTGTTTAAGACTGAGTCAATCATTGCATTAAATTCCACAACTCGGCGGTTAACCCGGCTTTGGTCGGGTTCACATAACAAGTTTAGCAAAAAAATTTAAACTGCGTACTGGGCAACTCCAGTTTCTACGAAATACAAGATAAATAAAACACTACTTCCCATAAATTATTTATAGCTGTTTCCCAGAGTTGTGGCATTGAAGGAACAAGTTTTCGTATAGTTTTATTACCCCACAGATTTGGCCACCCCATTTGGTAAAATTCATCATGGAAATGCAGTACCGCTTACTCCTCTTTTATCCCAAGCCGAGGTGTTATTTATGACAATGGTTTCCCTCGATTGGGCAAAAAACAAAAAAAAAAACAAAAGTAGTGAAGAAATTAGGTAACCCAATAGAATTTCCATACAATTTTTAGTTTTATAAAACAAAAACAAAAAAAAAATTGACATTATGCGTTAAGGATTGATTAAAAAAGTATTGCATAAATACCATGTGTTTTGCTTTTTCTTATTACTGCCGTATTACACGAGGGGCTGTTTTGTGTTTTTTTATGCCTGTTGGTAATCACAATAATGAGTACTTGTAATAGTTACTTACGTAATATGATTAAAAAAAATCAAAATTAGTACTATTTATGAAATATTTTACTTTACCCTCTACTTTTAACTCAAGTAAGATGAAAAAGAACAAGAAAATTAGAAAAGAAGAGGAAACAAACAAGAAAACTCTATTATTTTATTAGAGTTTTTGTATCCCGTGAAAACTAGAAAGGAAAAGGGAGTTAAGTTCTTGATTAGTTTATTTATTCGTCAAATTTTCGTTGTTATTATATATTAATTGGAATAGGAAAAAAAAAAGATAATAAACAACATTCTTTAGTATTCATTGCACAAAATTTAATATATGAGAAAGAAACTAGTATGACTGTATGAGTGATTGAGTGCGGTGTAGAAAAGTATACCAGAGTTGTGTAGTAGCCTTCCAACTTAAAGGCACTAGATAGTATATATTTTATATGTGCAATAGCACTATCACTAGAATGTCACATTAATTATCTTGATATTATCACCTATATATCGCAAATAATAATAACCTACCCTACTAATCATGTCACAAAAATTTATCTTTCTATAATGTATAGCACAACACATTGAGCAACTAAAAAAGACTTTGACTGAGAAGGAAATAATTATAGAATAAACATTCTTAAGTATAGAAATAAAAGAAAAAGTTAGCATCGGTTAACTAAAAAGGAAACCGAAACATTCTTTTTTTTTTTTTGAACGGAACTAAACATTCTTATTAAGTTAATGAGTTATTAACATATTGAAGAAGAGAACTCAAAGAATTACAGTAGGTCTTGCCCCAGCAAAATAAAAACCAACCAAATCCTTAATTCTTATTGCAAAAAGACCATAATATAATGATTAACGATAGATAAAGATTATGAATTTATTAAGCTGTCCGATTTAAAGTTAAGAAATGAAAATTATTAAAGGATATGTGAAAAAGGCACATCCAACTGCAATTATGGATTCAGGGGAAAGGCTATTATGAAAAGTCCAGTAGTGATTATTGTGCTGCTTTTCTTTATTTTCTTTTTCTTTCGCGTCATAATTTGCTGTAATTAGTACCAGCAGAAATAAGATAGATTCATTAAGTAAAAGCATGCATCATAAGCGAGTCATTACTTTTTAAAAGATTTTTATAATCAACTAATGCATGGACGAAACACTAATATATATATAAAGTGTATATATTAATTTTATATTTTAATCTAACCCCTTAATTATTGGATGCCTCAGCACTCAAACTCACTCTCTTTTTAGCACGTCTAACCTACAGCTGCTAGACCGTTTGGCATATCTCTCTAGTAAGACAATGAATCTTTCGGTTCTTTCGTAGTTTCCAAGCTCTATACAAACAGTTGGAAGTTGTACATTATCCAATACAACTAAAAAAAAAAAACTGTTAGGAAGTTATTTTTCCTCGCAAAATATATAAAGAAAAGAAAAAGATGATAAAAAAATCATCAGAAATTCTTCAAATTGTACTGCAAATTACGTGTGGAAGTCGATCGATAATTAGTTGAACGGATGGGTCAAACTTCAACGCCAAAAGCTGTAAGCCTGTGAAAGACAGGAGTACTACGTACTGCATTGAATCTTATCTTTCCACATATATATATATATATATCCTGTTCAGTTTTTTAACATAAAAATCACTAATATATTTACGTGACACATGCAAATTCACCCAAGTTCCCATATTGCAGATACATTCATGCATCATATACCAGAATATATGCTCCGGTTAAATTACCGCCAGCACATAGAATTGAAAAATAAAATGACTTTACCTTATATATATATATATATATATACAAAATGTTCCTTTCAAGGTGGGGTCCAACAATATCCATTGCAATTTAATGGTGAAGTTATATATATATATAGAGGAAGTCCAAAAAATTGGTATAGATTCCGTGGCTGCACTGGCATTAAATCACTAGTCGTTTTCCAAGCACTTGAGGAAAACTGCAAGACAGGAAGTAGTGAAACGAATTATTGCCATGGCCGATCATGAGAGCCAAATGTACATTCTTCTTCCACACAATTGGTTGAATTCAAACTACATATATATACATATATATATATATATATATAAGAGGCCGATCAATTAATACAAAGACGATATCGTGGAATATCTATTATTTATATATCTATATCCAATAGCATGGAAATCGTGGCAATCTATCAAGGGAAAAAAAAAGATCACTTGACAAGTCAAAAAAATCATATAAACAAAAAGAAAAAAAAAAAGAAAAAGAAAGATTGGTTTGAAATTAACGGAACTGTTAATTGGTTATATCTTCATGTTAGGATTCGCAACTGATCATCAATAGTGGGGTGGTTATGATAAAAGTCGGGTAACAAAACTAACAAGTCAATAAAGAATAAGATTATAGGACTTACTCTATATATATGGATCATACACACACACACACACACACACATATGTGTGTGACGAATTGGGCTTCTGCTCTATTTTATGGGAAATCACATGGGATATAATTGGTTGTGACATTAAAAATACATGATAATTATGAATCAATGATATAATTTTAGTAGTAGAATAGTTAATGATCGTATGTGTGATTGTAGGGCAGCTTCGAATTAATATTCTGGTCAAAGTCTGACTACAACAAAATTATAACATATTGGTGTGCCTCATAACTACTATTGTGGCATGGCTGGCCGGGCAAATCCACCGTCCCATCCTTTCAATATGACTGCTAATTTATTGATCCCATGAAACTAGTACTATACCTTTTTCTATATGCATCTTTCTTTGAAGAGTTTTTTTTTTTTCCTTTTTATTTTCAATTTTCTTGTTCCTTTTTCGTTTCTAATTAATGTGAAAAGTATAGCCCACAAAAATTTATTAGATATCTGGAAGAAATCATGTGCTTACCACGCATGCATATCATTAGTGCTCTCTCTAATTAGTACTAGTATGACCCAAATGATAAAGACAAAAAGCTTGTTTCTAAGCAGGCTATTATGAAAATTTTACGTTGGAACGTTTATTGCGCTACGTATAATTCCCAAGTTATTATGAAAGTTCTAGCTTCAATTTATATTAAATGAAAATTGGGACGTCTCTATCAATAGATCATATGAATTTTTCTGTGCATATATGATCATTACGTTGATCATTAATGACTTCTACTGCCGTCATCGGCTCAAAAAGGTAATATTTTCTAGTACTGTTCCTGTGGGATTATAATTC